CTAACCCTAAACCTAATCCTAACCCTTAACCTAATCCTTAACTTAACCCTAACCCTAACCCTTAACCTAACCCTAATCCTAATCCTAACCCTACCCTTAACCTAACCCTAAACCTAATCCTAACCCTTAACCTAACCCTAAACCTAACCCTTACCTTAAGTTGAATCGGCTTGCTTTCAAAGCGCTATTTAAAGCGCCCTTCTTTCTCCGCGCTGGCTGTTGTCGCCCTGTTGATGACATCAGCGACACAGTTTAATCGGGCGCGGCTTAGTCGAGTGCGGTTTTGACGGGTCACGCCAATTTCCATTACCGGTTCACCTGAACTGTTGCAAACCAGTAGCAACCCACCTCTGACACACACACATCACTAAGTTTCACAGATCCCTGCCTCTCAGAAAAGCATATCAGAGGCAAACTGTCATGATGCTTCTGCCTTTGAAATGTGAAGGTTGGGGAGGAAAAAAACCCTGAATAAACAAGGAAGGGAAAAGATAGCTTTCTTTTGACTTTTCTCTCCCGTCTGCCAATTTATCTCCGATCTCTTTGTATTTTTTTTTGGGGGGGGGGAGAAAAATAATCTTCCACACCCATAAAACAAAACCCTTCCGTCCTGTCAAAGCAGGATAAACAGCCGAGTGCATTCCTAGGCAATCTGCATTGGAAAGGACACATCTGTCTTAAAGCAGAACACGGAGAGGCTGAGGAGGAGCAGAACGCTGCCCTGCTTTTGTTACATAAAGGTCTGCTTGTTGTAGGCAGACGTGTAACGGGGAAAATTAAGCGGTTCACCTTTTCGCGACTGCTTTGCATCTTATTTTGGGCTCCAGCCAGATGGTGCTTTCTCTTTCTTCCTTTGATTAAGAGGAGGAAGAAAAGAGGAAGACATAAAAACAAACCAAAACAAACCCCAGAAGTGAAATCCTGAATCTAAAAGAGAGTCAAAACACCACAATGTATGCACCTGCATGCATATACACAAGCATGCACGTACACACACACATACACACATAGAGACACACAGACACACACAAACTGGGTGATGGGGAGCTCTGATACATTTGAATGAAGTTGTTAGCCTGCAGAAAGCTTTGGACCTGTCGTGTCAATATTAACCTTCTGATGGAATCTTACACAGCTTTCTCTCTCCGGAGGATGATAAAATGCTGCAATCTACAGGGGAAATCGGCAGGAGAACTTACAATAACATTTAGCTAAAATCAGCTGAAATGAAAAGTTTGGCATGGGGTTTTTTTGACCCAGATTGTAAAACTCTTGATGCATTACCGAAAATAAGCTTTCTCTGAAGCAGAGGGACCACTTGTGGTCACCAGCAGGAGTGGGGGGGGGGGGACCTTAAAAATGTTATGTGGTTTCCAAAGCTGCACTGAACTATTGATTTATTTCTATCAAAACCCAAAGTTTATTTTGTATCCAGGCTTAGGAAATGCAAGGAATAGATGGAGAGGGGTGCTATTCCCATTTGCTTCCCCATGTTCAGTCTGATTTTTGGCCACGTTGACCTGACCTCTCAGATGAAAACTTTTACAAGATTTTTTAGGTGGGATTTAAGGACTGGTGACTTTTCTTATACTGTATGTCTCAAAAAAAGATATTAAAAACTCAAAATGAATGGGCATTTTCAGGGGTGGGCTGCTACAGGTTCGCCCGGGTTTGGGAGAATGGGTTATGGCTGGTTCGGAGAACCTCAAAATCTTACCCTTCCTTGCTCCGCCCACCATGCCCTGCCGCTGCCACCCCACTACGCCCCTCCCAGGAGTCTCCATGTGGCCCATTTTGGATGTGAGGTAAGTGCAGGGCCCATCCAGATACTCGATGAGGAGAAAAATGGGTCTCCCGGAAGGCCTCCAGAGCCAGAGGAAGGACGTTTTCACTTGAGAAAAGTGTGCAGAGCCTGGGAAAGGTGAAAATGCACCCCTCCCCCATGGTGCAGGTGGCTGACACCCACCATGGCCATGCCCACCCATCAACCAAGTAGAGAACCTGTTGCTGAAATTTTTGAAGCCCACCTCTGGGCATTTTATAACAACTTCTGAAAGCAAGCTGTTCCATTGATTAATTGCTCTCCCTCTTAGGAAATTTCTCCTTACTTCTAAGTTGCTTCTATCCTTGACTAGTTTCCATGCATTACTTCAGAAGTGGGTTCCTACCAGTTCGCACCTATTCGGTAGAACAGTTTGTCAAATCTACCGAACCGGTTAGAAGAGGTTCCACCAGTGGACCCGGAAAGCAGGCCACACCTACAGAAGAGGTTCCAAAATTTTTTGAAACCCACCACTGCATTGCTTCTTGTTCTACCCTCAGGTGCTTTGGAGAATAGCTTGACTCCCTCTTCTTTGGGGCAGCCCCTGAGATATTGGAAGACTGCTATCATGTCTCCCTTAGTCCTTCTTTTCATCCGACTAGACATACCCAATTCCTGAAACCATTCTTCCCCTAATCATCCAATCCTTTACCCCAACAAATTATCTGTTTATCTAAACTGTGTCTGCCCCAGCTAGAGAGCATCTCAAATGAGCCTAAATTGCCTATTATTTCTATTCTCATAATTTACACACAGTTATCAGTTACCCTTCCTGTTGCTTTTTCCATAAGCCCCCTGTATTAAGTTTGCCGTAATCCCCTTCCACAGGTCGCGGCGTCCAATCCTTTAATCATCTTTGTTGCCCTCCACTGGATTCCCCTTAATTTATCAATGTCTTTTCTTTAATGAAAGACCTAGCAAAAATGCAAGGAACGGCTTGTTCCAGAATTATGCTTGTTTCTGGGAAAAAGAGAGAGAGAGGCTGTGGAAATCATGCGCTGGGCTGAAGAGAGAATGACAGGGAGTGGAATGTGGATAAATAAGTGTGATGAATACAGATGGAGCAGTAGAGAAAAAGAGAGAAATAACCGAACTATTTTTCTTTGAAATTTGGACTGTGTCTATCAAGAGTTCTCAATAGTGAGATGGGCGACAGATACATTAAATCAGTGGTTCCCAAACTTGGCAATGTTAAGACTTGTGGACTTCAACTCCCAGAATTCTCCAGCCAGCTCTGCTGAGAATTCTGGGAGTTGAAGTCCACAAGTCTTAAAGTTGCCAAGTTTGGGAACCACTGCATTAAATAAATGAAACATTTACAGTATGCTTGTTTTTAAGGAATGCTTCTTATGGGTGAAATATGGATCTTTACATGTGTTTGAAAGCATTCTCCCCAGGCAATCATCCACCTTTTTATGACAGTCATGGAAGGCTTCTATAGTTTGAGGGTGAGGCAAAGAAATAACAGAATAACAGAATTGGAAGGGACCTTGGAGGTCTTCTAGTCCAATCCCTTGGTGAAGGAGGGGATCCTATACCATTTCAGACAAACGGCTGTCCAACTTCCTCTTAAAAACCTCCAGTGATGGAGCACCACAACTTCTGAAGACAAGCCATGGTCTTCAGGCATAATATATGCGGTGTGTGATATGCATGTGTGGAAACCTTAATGTAAAGTTTGAGGTCACCAAGAGGTCCCATTTCTAATGAGGTGACATAGAGGTTCTACAGAGTTTCCATTTCAAACGAGTAATTCTTATAAATAGTGTACTGACCTCAGTCAGTCCAATACTTTTTGCCAAGGTGGTGTTATCATTAATAAATCTTCCCCCAATTCTTTTGTATAAAAGAATTGGCCTGATGATCAGTCCTCAGTACTAATTTCTGAGCCACCAGATCTCCTAAACCTAGATATTATCTGGGCATCATGCAAAAATAAAGGCTTCCATTATGCTTATGGTTTATATTAGGGGTGTCAAACTTGATTTCATTGAGGGCCGCATCAGGGTTGTGTTTGACCTCAGGGGTCCAGGGTGGGCATGGCCAGGCCAAGTGAGGCCACCTTGACATCACTTGTTTCAGGGGCACCTGTGGCCCGAGCACTCTGCCAGTGAAATGGACTCCTCAGCAACGTTTCTGGCTGTGACACCTCCTGCTACCATCTGCCAGTGAAAATGGAGCTGGGGGTGAGGTTATGCAGCCCTCCGAAGCTCTGTTTCTGGCTGCGATAGCCTCCTGCAACCCTCTGACAGTGAAAACATAGCTTGGAGAGGCACATACAACCCTCCCAAGCTCCATTTTCACTGGCAGAAGGACCATGGGCTGTTTCCAGATCTAAGCACCCCGCGGGCCGGATCCAGCCCCCGGGCCTTGAGTTTGATACCCCTGGTTTACATCGTTATGGAAATCTTTTACAACTGTAGAACAGTTTAAACATAGAGCAGAATGAAATGGCAATACTTTGCATAGTTGAATGTTTAGTTCACCGATATGGGGAAAACATCAAGGAAATGTGGAATGGATTCTGGATGAAAAATGGCTCCTGATACTCAAGATGGGTTTTCAGCTGATGTTGAATAGTCACAACAGAAGTGGAGGAGAAGGGTGGGGGAGAAGAAGAAGAAGAAACAGCAACTAGTAATTCAATTGTCCTTCAAGTTTTAAATGCTGCTCAACTAATTTTCATCCTGTACTAGGAAGTGCATCAATCTAAGGTCTTTTGCTTCTTAGCTTTGGTTTCTTAAATATACCATGTTTCCCAGTAGACATAGTTTTATTTTCTTTTGACCCTCGAAATGGCCTTATTTCGGGGGAGGTCTTATTTTTGAGGTGCAGGAGGCAGCAAGCGTGGTCACCTCATGGCTGCTGCTGTGTTGCAATATTTTCAGGGAGGGCTTATTTTAGCGCATGCATTCAAATGCCTGATAGGGCTTATTATCCAGGAGGTCTTATTTTCAGGGAAACAAAATATTTTATATTTTGAAGCCCAGCTTGATTGGCCCTTGCTTTATAAATCAAGCTCTCATTTTTTTTTGTACTGAATCCCATTTGTGAAATTCTGTCCCTTGGTGGGCTCAGCCAGTTTCATTCAGATGCATCTGCTAAAATAATTGGCAGAAGTATGTCATCACCGCATTAAGAATGGTGATGTTTTGTTTCCTTCCCTTGGAATCATTTGAACACAGTGACACTCTCTTCTGCCCCCCCCCCCCAAATATCCCGGAATCACATAGCATATAGGCAAGACTGGGAGGATTAAACAGTCACCAAACGCATGCCATCTCATCTCACAACTTGCCAAAATGTCCTTTCTAATTTGCTGCTCGTGAATGAACGTGCATTTTTATTCAGCCCTGCCATGTTCCAGTGCTGCACAATTAAAATGTCCATGGGCAAAAAGGAGAACAACAACATGCCAAGTATAAGTATAAGATGCACCAAGGTTTTGAAGAGGCAAATTAAAAAAAAGTTTTTTGCAATCTGCAAACCTCCCCAAAACAGCCCATTTTTTGTGAAAATGGGCCCGGTTTTTTTTTCCAAAAAAGAGACATGGATAGCCTTTAGGGGGCTTGCAAAGTGCTCGGGGGGGGGGGGTGAACAAAAATCAGCCTGTTTTTGTGAAAACAAGCCCATTTTTTTGTAAAAAAAAGGGGGGGCAAGGATAGCCTTTAGGAAGCTTATAGAGTACTCCTGGGGACTGTGGGGGTAAAATGGAGCAAAAAACGGGCCGTTTTTTCTGGCCTTCCCAGCCTCCATGAGCTCTCTAAAAGCTTCCTAGAGGCTATCCATGCCCTGCACAGCCATTTTGGTGAAGGGGGCGGGGTTTCGGGAGGCAAAAAATGCTGTATTCAGTGTATAAAACACGCCCAGATTTTCAGCCTCTTTTTTGAGGGAAAAAGGTGCGTCTTATACTCTGAAAAATATGGTAGTTCTCTTTACTTTGAAGGTGGCTTTTTTTGGCTGTTACGGGCAAGACGTAGACATGCAGAAATCCCTGATGAAAGTTTTTGATGCAATAATTGGGGGGGGGACCCATATTTGATCCTCAGTTTGTTTACCTCTAAATTATATAAACTATAATAGGAACTGTAGGGTTTTGTGGGAACTCTATTCTCGGAACGGTCTAGTAACCAATAGCCAATACTTAACATTTAATTATTTCAGAAGAATTTGAACATTTATGTGTCTCTTTTTTTCCCTAGATCTGGATCATTTAGGCCAGGGGTCACCAACCTTTCAGACCTCAGGGACCACTAAATTCATAATTTTAAATCCCGCGGACCACTAATATGATCTGCCTAATGACCAGCTGGGTGGGCGTGGCAAGGTGGTCATGTGATTGGGTGGGCATGGCCAACTTGATGTCACTCACATTGAGGGGTGCCTTGCCAGCCTCTACCCACCCCTCCCCTCCGAGCCATTCTTCGCCTCGATGCCCAGGCTCCTTAGGGCCCCAACAAGAAGCAGTTGTTGGAGCTAAGCAGCCACCATGAGAAAAAAGTTGGTTCAGTTCAAATTGGATCTGACCAAGACGGAGGCTTAGCAGAAGCTGAGGACTGCAAGCATAGATTTTCCAAGCAGAGGGAAGACCTGTGGGAGTGCAAGGCCAGGTACCAGTCCCTGGAGGCTTAATGGGCTGAGATGGTCAGCCAGTTCCAGGCCATGATGCAATCCCACTGGAACAAGGTTCTCTGGCTCTTCGCTACCAGTGACTTCCCTCGAGCCTTTGCCCAAAGCCCCACACCAGGAAGCTGAAGCAGACCCCAAGTCAGAATTTCTGCCCCCCTCCGAACTGCACAAAAAGACCCCAAAAGGGAAGACTCTCTGTAGCAACACAAGCATTCATTGTACACATCCAGCCCAGGGATTGCCATTTGCGGACCCCTGATTTTATTTATATATATGTATACACACACACACACACACACACACACACACACACACAAATAATTTTTCTGTGGACCACCAAAATTTTCCCAGTTGGTGACCACTGATCTAGGCCAGAATTGGAGTTTTATTTATGTGACTTTATACCTAATGCCTGAAGGTATCACCCTTATTCTGCTATTTGGACCTAGTAGTTTAAATCCCAAGGTATACTACATCAGAATTCGGGCATTCCATTGGTTGATTGCTGTGGATAGAACCACCCCCTCATACAAATGGCACAGATACTAACAGAGTCAGGAGAGACTCAGTTTCTCTTCTCCAAACTCTGCTTGCGCCACTCGCTCCAACTGATCCCATCAAGCCTGCCTTACCCTGTAATAATCAGTGCTGTAGACATCTCTGGACATCCCAAAGTCTCCAATCTTCACCAGCAGATTAACTCCAACCAAGCAGTTTCTTGTGGCCAGGTCTCTGTGTACAAAGTGCTGGGAGGCCAGATAAACCATTCCCGAGGCGATCTGGCTAGCAATGTGCAGCATTTGAGAAAGTCCTAATTCCCCTTTGACTTGCCGAGGCTGTCCATCCACAAGGATCAATGCATCTGGACCATGTGCCCTGGAGAAGAGAAGACAGGGTCAAGTCCAACAGAGCAAATAACAGAACAACTGGCACTATTTCTTTGTTTAAAATTTTTCTATAATAAATAGATAGAATGATGTTAGATAGATGATAGATAGATAGATAGATAGATAGATAGATAGATAGATAGATAGATAGATAGATAGATAGAT